TTTGAAGCTCTCAAATCTAAAAGGCTAACTTTGGCCAACCTGCTGGAGAGTAAAGTCCAAGGCGCGTTGGTCAGGTCCCAGATGCAGGAAATCACAGAGATGGATGCTCCCTCTGGCTTTTTCTTTGGCCTAGAGAGGAAACAAGGTCAGAGGAAAATTATCCACTCTTTACTGTCGGACACGGGGCAGCATATGAGCGAACCGGGGCAGATAAGGAGGAGGGCTGTGGACTTCTATAGTTCTCTGTTCCAGAGGGAATATAAAGAGAATGAAGAACTGTTGGAGGAGTTCTGCGAAGAACTGCCTCAGATCTCTGCGGAGATCAATACCGACCTGGAGCGCCCGTTGGGCATACAAGAGCTCCACACAGCCCTCCAGAGCATGCAGGGCCAGAGGTCCCCAGGCGTTGATGGGCTAACAGTGGAGTTTTTCAAGGCCTACTGGGACCTTCTGGCCCAGGACATGCTCGAAATGTACAACGAGAGTCTAGCTACCGGTTCGCTCCCCCTATCCTGTCGCAGGGCGGTCATCACCCTGCTGCTGAAAAAGGACAACCTGCAGGAGATTAAAAACTGGCGCCCTGTGTCCCTCCTCTGTACGGACTATAAAATCCTCTCGAGGCCCTGGCCACGAGAATAGGAAAAGCCATGGAGCAGGTCATCCACCGGGACCAGACCTACTGCGTCCCCGGCAGGTCCATGGTGGACAATGTCTACCTAATTCGGGAAATTTTGGGTGTACAGACAGGCTTGATTTCATTAGATCAAGAAAAGGCTTTTGACCGCGTTGAACACAACTTCCTCTGGAAAGTAATGAGGAGGTTTGGGTTCAGCGAGGGTCTTATTGCCAAGATCCAGGTGTTGTACGTTGACATTGAGAGTGTGCTGAAGATCAATGGCAGCCTGTGTACTCCTTTTAGAGAGGCGTTCGACAGGGCTGCGCGCTCTCGGGAATGCTCTATGCACTCTCCCTGGAACCCCTTTTAAAGAAGATGCGATCAGACATTCACGGCTTGGTTTTACCCGGTTTTAAAGACAAATTGGTTTTATCTGCCTATGCTGACGATCTCGTGGTTTTTATTAAAGATCAAAAAGACGTCAGCGTTTTAACAGAAATCATAAGAAAGTTCTCCATGCTGTCTGCCGCCAAAGTAAATTGGGAAAAAAGTGAAGCCCTGGCTGTTGGCGAGTGGCCCGACGGACTCCCGGCTCTCCCCAAAGGCATGACCTGGAGAAAAGATGGCCTAAAATATCTAGGCGAGAAAAGTTTTGTTGAAAAAATCTGGCAAAACCTAGAACAAAATATCAACAAACTTGCGAAATGGAAATGGTTGCATGAAAAAATGTCGTACAGAGGAAGAGTGTTAGTGCTTAATAATCTGGTCGCATCACAACTATGGCACAAGCTCATTGTACTAGATCCACCGTCAGGGCTGCTCGCAAGAATACAGAAGGAAATGATTAATTTTTTCTGGAACAATCGTCACTGGGTGCCACAGCCGGTGTTGTTTTTATCCAGAGAAGAGGGGGGCCAGGGCCTTGTCCACCTGGCCAGTAGAGTCACTGTGTTTAGGATACAGTTTTTACAAAGTACCTGATAGGATCTCCTGTGTGGAAGGATGTAGCCAGTTGCATTCTAAGATGCGTGAATTCCTTGGGATTGGATGCTGCTCTGTTTTTAACAAATTTTAGTCTTTTAAGGTTTAAAGGAATTCCGCAATTTTATCAGAGCGTTTTTAAATCATGTGCTCTTTTTAGATTGCGTAGAGCGGAAATGACTGATTCTCTGCATTGGCTATTAGAAGAACCCTTGGTGTACGGAGCAAGACTGGATGTTAGAGAGGACACGTTCCTGGGACTAACAGAGACGCTGTCTAGAGCCGGAATGATGACCTTAAAGAGGCTGATCCGAGCATCAGGAGCAGACTTTGGCGATGCCCAGAAGGTCGCTGCCGCACTGAAAGTAAGGTCTACAAGAATGATGGAACGTGTCCTGATGAGAATAAGAGAAAGATTGACTGGAAAAGAGAAGAGTTTATTGCAGGCATACAAGGATGGAGAATGCCTGCCAAAAGAAACAGATCCTTTTCCTAAGGTTTCTTCTGAGTCCAAGCTTTGAAGAGGACAGCGGTCCTCTGCTAAAGACCATGGACTCAGAAATGGATTTGTGCAAAGTGGCACCAAAGACTTTATATAAAACTGTGTGAAAATCCTAAACAAGAGAACACTTCGAAAGAGGGACGTCAGCGTGTGGGTTGAAAGACTGAAAGGACAACCAATCCACTGGAGGACAATGTACAAACCGCCGATTAGAAAAAGGATTGGCGACCTCCAGTGGAGGATACTCCATGGCGCTATAGCCACCAACGCGTTTTTATCGGTGATTAGTCCTGGTTTTATAAATGAGTGTCCATTTTGTAGGTTGTCAGAGAGTTTTTCATGTTTTATACATTGCACACGATTGATAGTCTTTTTTAGTTTTTTATCAACTGTTTTTAGTCTTTTTAAAATGATTTTTACCGATGCACTATTTATTAACGAAGTACGTCATAGTAAAGCGACTAGTTTTAAGTCAAGGCTTTTAAATTATTTATTAGCCGAGGCAAAATTAGCTATATATAACTCGAAGAGACAAGATGCAGGATGGACCTCAAGTTGATGTTGTGGCTCTGTGGAAAGTAAACATCAAGGCGAGGCTGAGTTTGGAGTTTGCTTTCCACAGGGCCACTGGGAATGTGCAGGGGTTTTTAGAGTTATGGGGATGTGACAAAGTGTTGTGCATCATTTCAGGAAATAATGAACTAATTTATACTGATGTTTTATTATAATGTATTTTTTGTAATGTATGACATAGGATTATTGTAAAACAACAAAAAAAATAAAATTGTTTTATTATTATTGTAAATAAATGTTTTGTAAAAATCAAATCAAAATCTTCTTCTACTACTTTTTCTTCTTCTTCCCCTTTACATTGTAACGGCAGTTTGCATCCATTGCTCTTGCACTACTGCCACCTATTAGATCCTCATATCTATGTCTCATTCTAATATCTTTGATTTACATATTTTCTACAACTAATAAAAACATGTTCCATAAAATCACACCAACTTCATAAACCAGTAAGATGTTTCCTCATCTTAAAAAGAGTTCCATTTAAAAAAACTGACTGGTTCTTATTCTATTCATAATCTCCTCCCTCCTGTTTATTCCGCTAACCATTACTACATCAATTGTATATAAATGACTTCCACTTATTTCATCATCCCACCTAATTTTCCAAATCTTCTTGCTTCCTCTCCAAACTATACTTTTGCCTTCATATTTAGATCACTTTACTGGCATATCAACAACTTCTTGTTTAATAGCCTCCTTAGCCAACCTATCTGCTCTTTCGTTACCCAAAATACCCACATGAGCAGGAATCCAAAATTATATTACATTTTTATTTTGTTCACGTATTCTGTTATGAACAGCCATAACCTCATTTCATCTCTTTTGTTTTCTTCTTCTGCTGCAGTTTTTTTTTTGTCTTCTTCTTTGGGATTTTATAATTAACTGCATTCATGTCATCGCATTACCGCCACCATGTGGATCCTACGATCATCACAACTACAAATTTCTCATATAGTGCCTATTCGGGGAGTCCGGGAGAAATCAAGCAGTCTGCGCTGATCGTCCATCTCTTCCTCCGACTGGACGATGATTTCTTTAAACTCTGTCAATGTTTCTGCAGTTCACTGCTCGCTGATTAACTGGTTTAAGCCGGACTGGAGATATTTATTAGAAAAACACTCAAACATTCAACAAACAGACCATGTGTCGTCCTCTTTGTCTTCTTCTTCTTCTACTACTTTTTCTTCTTCTTTACATTGTAACGGCAGTTTGTATCCATTGCTCTTGTACTACTGCCACCTATTGGATCCTCATATCTATGTCTCAAATTCTAATATCTTTGATTTACATATTTTCTATACCTAATAAAAACATGTTCCATAGAATCACACCAACTTCATAAACCAGTAAGATGTTTCCCCATCTTAAAAAGAGTTCAATTTAAAAAACTGACTGGTTCTTATTCTATTCATAATTATCTCCTCCCTTGTTTATTCCTCTAACCATTACTACATCAATTGTATAAAATGCCTTCCATTTATTTATATCCCACCTAATTTTCCAAATCTTCTTGCTTCCTCTCCAAACTATACCTTTGTCTTCAGATTTAAATAATTCTGTTATGAACAGCCATAACCTCGTTTTCATCTCTTTTGCTTTGTCGTCTTCTTCTTTGGGGTTTTATGACTAACTGCATTCATGTCATTCCATTACTGCCACCTTGTGGATCCTACGATCAGCACATCTACAGATTTTTCTCAGTGCCAGTTCTCGTTGCAGAACGTGAAATGTTTTCCTCGTAATATAAGAGAGCAGAAAAAAAAATAGAAATACAACTAAGACAAAAGACACACAGAATTACTGAAGACAACAATAATCAACCAAACTTTAAAAAAATCAAGAACTATCAATGAGTGATTTTCATAAAGTTTTTAAATGGATTTTTTATCTAATCATCAAAGAAAATGTAAAGTCAGTGCATAACAGCACATTGTATTTTTGATTATAAGTGTATTGAGATAAACAACATCCATCCCTCACACTTTCTCTATACATAATAGAATAATACAAATCAATCCCTCAAGTCCAATCTTGTGAGAATGTTCTGGAAGGGAGTCCATGTCCAGTCAAACTCTGTTAATGCATGAAATTAGTCACAATGGACCACAATGTCTCTTCATCTATCAGCATCAGTACTGGCTCTCCTCAGGGCTCTGAGCTGAGCTTTTGCTCTTCACGTTGTACAAACACAACATACAGTCTGATATAAACAGTATATAAGTACAATAACATACAGTTTATCATTATTGTTGGATGGTTGCACAACGTCCATATGATCACATTTAAATACTAAAATTTTCAGCTTTATAGACATGAAACCCTCCAGTCTTTCATTCTAGTTTTTAACAAAATCAAATCTATAGTGAACCTCAACATAGGACATGTACGGAAAATACTTCTACAGCTTTTCACCAGTGTGAATCCTCATGTGCCGAGTTAAATTCTGTTTTTGACTAAAACTTTTTCCACAGTTCACACATGAAAACGGCTTTTCACCAGTGTGAATACTCATGTGCTTAGTTAAATTCTGTTTTTCACTAAAACTTTTTCCACAGTTCACACATGAAAATGGCTTTTCACCAGTGTGAATCATCATGTGCTTAGTTAAATGCTGTTTACGACTAAAACTTTTTCCACAGTTCACACATGAAAACGGCTTTTCACCAGTGTGAATCCTCATGTGCCGAGTTAAATCCAGTTTATGTCTAAAACTTTTTCCACAGTTCCCACATGAAAATGGCTTTTCACCAGTGTGAATCATCATGTGCCGAGTTAAATCCTGTTTTTGACTAAAACTTTTTCCACAGTTCACACATGAAAACGGCTTTTCACCAGTGTGAATCCTCATGTGCTGAGTTAAATGCTGTTCATGTCTAAAACCTTTTCCACAGTTCACACATGAAAACGGCTTTTCACCAGTGTGAATCCTCATGTGCCGACTTAAATTCTGTTTTTGACTAAAACTTTTTCCACAGTTCACACATGAAAACGGCTTTTCACCAGAGTGATTCATCATGTGCCGAGTTAATTTCTGTTTTAGACTAAAACTTTTCCACAGTTCACACATGAAAACGGCTTTTCACCAGAGTGAATCATCATGTGCCGAGTTAATTTCTGTTTTAGACTAAAACTTTTTCCACAGTTCACATGAAAACGGCTTTTCACCAGAGTGAATCATCATGTGCTGAGTTAAATCCTGTTTTTGACTAAAACTTTTTCCACAGTTCACACATGAAAACGGCTTTTCACCAGTGTGAATCCTCATGTGCTTAGTTAAATTCTGTTTTTCACTAAAACTTCTTCCACAGTTCACACATGAAAACGGCTTTTCACCAGTGTGAATCCTCATGTGCAGAGTTAAACTATATTTATGTCTAAAACTTTTTCCACAGTTCACACATGAAAACGGCTTTTCACCAGTGTGAATCCTCATGTGCTTAGTTAAATTCTGTTTTTCACTAAAACTTTTTCCACAGTTCACACATAAAAACGGCTTTTCACCAGAGTGAATCCTCATGTGCTGAGTTAAATACTCTTTTCGACCGAAACTTTTTCCACAGTTCCCACATGAAAACGGCTTTTCACCAGTGTGAATCCTCATGTGCTGAGTTAATGCCGTTTTTTCACTAAAACTTTTTCCACAGTTCACACATGAAAACGGCTTTTCACCAGTGTGAATCCTCATGTGCTGAGTTAAATTCTGTTTTTGACTAAAACTTTTTCCACAGTTCACACATGAAAACGGCTTTTCACCAGAGTGAATCCTCATGTGCTGAGTTAATGCCGTTTTTTCACTAAAACTTTTTCCACAGTTCACACATGAAAACGGCTTTTCACCAGTGTGAATCCTCATGTGCAGAGTTAAACTATATTTACGTCTAAAACTTTTTCCACAGTTCCCACATGAAAACGGCTTTTCACCAGAGTGAATCCTCATGTGCTGAGTTAAATACTCTTTTCGACCGAAACTTTTCCACAGTTCCCACATGAAAACGGCTTTTCACCAGTGTGAATCCTCATGTGCTTAGTTAAATTCTGTTTATGTCTAAAACTTTTTCCACAGTTCACACATGAAAACGGCTTTTCACCCTTATGAATTCTGATATTATCACTGACAGGATATTTGACAATCAATTGTTTTTTACAGGTGACACCTGACAAAGGTTTTCTTCTGTCCTGATTTTGGTTCTCAGTTTCATCAGGCTTTTCTAAGATTTCTTGGTTCCTGTTTGGTTCTGATTCAGTTTGGTATGTTTGCTCATCAACAGGAACCACCATGCAGGTATCAGAATCCTGTTTTAATGCAATCAGCTCTTCACCCTGACTGCAGTAAACTTCTTTTTCTTCCACTTTTATCTGCAGGTGTTCTAGATCCTCCTGTTCTTCTTTTATCTGATGATCTTCTGGCTCTTCCTGTTCTTGTTTCACCTGCAGAGGTTCTAACTCCTCCTGGTCCAGAGTGGATCTCCTCTCCTGGTTATAAACGTTACACTTCAGGGAATCTGGACAAGCAAACAGAGAAGAGAGAAATTGTTAACTTTACTGAAGTAAATAGGAGAAATTGTTCACAGTTTTAGACAGAAATCAACAAAATAACATTGAAAATTCAACAGCGTAGACAGAGATACACATCAGTCGACAAATCCAGCTGACATTTGGAAAATTCTCAAATGAACTGATAAAAAAAAATATTTTATTTATTACAAAATTAAACTTTGTAGGGATTATTGTTAGTATTTAATAGTAAACTGTATTATTTCAATATATAATTTTTTTATTACTTTGAATAATATTTAAATGTAATTTTTGTATACTTTAAATTTTTGGGGTTGAGTTATAAACATGAATTTATTTGTAGGTTAATAGTTGTATATTTTTTGTTCCTTTATTATTTGCTTTTCTAAGTTAGACAGGAAGAACTGTGGGTCCATTTGCTGAAAGTATAGAGGCTTGGAAGTGACGTCACTGTGTGTGACGTTTACGTCACTGGGCGCCATCTTGTATGGCAACATACCAAAACAAACATTTTTTGATGGTTTTATCACCTTTCCGCTGTATCTTCCTCTTCCATAATGCAGAAAAGCAGTTTGAAACAAAGTGGGATATATTGTGAAAAGCTTCTCCCAGAAGCTCAAAAAAATGTTACATGGAAAAAATATCTAAAATTGAAATCGACCCGTTAGAAATAAAGAGTTGGAGCAGAGACCCTGATCATCCTCTAATAACAAGATAGAAAGACTTTGAATTCATTTGGATTTACACATGTACAATGAAAGAAAATCCAGTTGGAAAGTGCAACTAAAGTATGAAATATGTACAATATAAACCTAAATATGCAACTGCTGGAGATGCATCAGCAACTCTCGCGATAAGCGAGTTAGAAAACGGATGGATGGAAACCAAACACACAAATAGTGTTGCACTCACGAAACAGACTCTTCTTCACTTTCGGCAACTTTATTTGCACATGACGTGTATTTGTTTTGGGGCTGCCGTTACAAAGTCCCTTCTTCCAGAGCTACAACGTTTTAACTGACTACTGACACTACTTCCACTACACAACGAAACACTGACGCAGCACAAAGCTCAGATTGTGAGAAACTCCATTTTCTCTCCATAAATCAGCCATTCTCATTGTGATGTCTGCGTTCATTTACCTGCTAACAAAACATTTATCCGGGAAAAGAGCGTTTACTAAAATGATCCTCATGCAGAAAGGTGCAGACATTTAGACCTTAACCTGCATCCAAACGCTGCTGTTTCCTACCTATTCGGTGTAAGATGATCTGGGGAGTCCGGGAGAAATCAAGCAGTCTGCGCTGATCCTCTCTTCCTCCGACTGGACGATGATTTCTTTAAACTCTGTCAATGTTCCTGTTCACTGCTCGTTGATTCACTGGTTTAAGCTGGACTGGAGATATTTATTCGAGAAACACTGAAACATTCAACAACACAGACCATGTGTCGTCCTCTTTGTCTTCTTCTTCTTCTTCTTCTTCTTCTTCTTCTTCTTCTTCTTCTTCTTCTTCTTCTTCTTCTTCTTCTTCTTCTTCTTCTTCTTCTTCTTCTTCTATTTCTCCTTTACATTGTAACGGCAGTTTGCATCCATTGCTCTTGTACTACTGCCACATATTGGATCCTCATATCTGTGTCTCAAATTCTCGTATCTTTGATTTACATATTTTCTATACCTAATAAAAACATGTTCCATAGAATCACACCAACTTCATAAACCAGTAAGATGTTTCCCCATCTTAAAAAGAGTTACATTTAAAAAAACTGACTGGTTCTTATTCTATTCATAATTATCTCCTCCCTTGTTTATTCCTCTAACCATTACTACATCAATTGTATATAAATGCCTTCCATTTATTTATATCCCACCTAATTTTCCATATCTTCTTGCTTCCTCTCCAAACTATACCTTTGTCTTCAGATTTAAATAATCTGTTATGAACAGCCATAACCTCGTTTCATCTCTTTTGCTTTGTCTTCTTCTTCTTTGGGGTTTTATGACTAACTGCATTCATGTCATTGCATTACTGCCACCTTGTGGATCCTACGATCATCACATCTACAGATTTTTCTCAGTGCCAGTTCTCGTTGCAGAACGTGAAATGTTTTCCTCGTAATAGAAAAGAGCAGAAAAAACAAAAATACAACTAAGACAAAAGACACACAGAGAATTACTGAAGACAATAATAATCAACCAAACTTTTAAAAAATCATGAACAATCAATGAGTGATTTCATAAAGTTTTTAAATGGATTTTTTTTATCTAATCATCAAAGAAAATGTAACATCAGTGCATAACAGCACATTGTATTTTGATAATTAGTGTATTAAGATAAACATCATCCATCCCTCACACTTTGTCTATACAGAATAGAATAATACAGATCAATTCCCCAAGTCCAATCTTGTGAGAATGTTCTGGAAGGGAGTCCATGTCCAGTCAAACTCTGTTAATGCATGAAATTAGTCACAATGGTCCACAAGAGCACTTAGACCACTGAGAATGGCAGTTGACCTTTTCACTGCTTTTGTAGAACAATGTTCAATAAATCCCAAGAAGCATTAAAAGCACAATATTATAACATTAATATGAATGCTACAATAAGATTCTGGAACATTGAAACTTTGTGAGACGATTACTTGTTTATAATGCATAAATGAACCGCTGAAAAAGAATGATTAAATGTTTTTAATCCAAACAAGATAATTACTTACTGTAAGGCATGAATATATTTGTAAGCAAAACAATTACAAAACAACAGCAAGAAAATCTCTCAAGGAAACTGTTGGATCTGAACACAAAACATTTATCAAACATTTCACAATATGACGAAAGAGATACAGTTGAAGTTTTAAATGCAATAGAATTGAATGGAGAGCCAGCTTCAGGACGTCTGCTATCTCCGTCTCCAGGCCAGTTCTAACGTGCTCTCATACAACTCAATATTTATTACATTGAGGCGTTGCTTACAAATCATTTGCATAGAAGGAGACCAGATTTCAGTCACAAGTCTCTGCTCAAACAATGTTGTCATCCTGCATCCATGCAGCTGTTGTCCTCCAAGCACATTTTTGTAGCTCTTGAAGATCCTGTCTGTAAATTTCTTGAGGTTATAAAAAACTTTTCTCTTGTTTCTTGTTTCTCTGGGCTACAAAACAAGAGTTTCTCAGGACTTCTAGTCTTTGATCCATTCTCCTGCTAAGGTGATAACATTTTCTTTCTGACTGGCATTTTTCGTCTAGTCAAGCTATCAGTGTAGCTGCGGCTTCAGGCATTTTGCTTCTCAAATCGGCCTGCTTCATACTGCTACAAACACACATCCTAGGGGCAAATAAATATCACATTTAACAACTTAATTAAAAAATTTCCACCACTTTATAGATGTAAACCCTCCAGTAAATAACACATTTTTATTACAATGACATTTATAGTGAACTTTTAAGACTTTTCACCAGTGTGAATCCTCATGTGCCGAGTTAAATCCTGTTTTTGACTAAACCTTTTTCCACAATTCCCATATAAAAACGGCTTTTCACCAGTGTGAATCATCATGTGCCGAGTTAAATGTTTTCGACAAAAACTTTTTCCACAGTTCACACATGAAAATGGCTTTTCACCAGTGTGAATCATCATGTGCCGAGTTAAACAAAGTTTTATGACTAAAACTTTTTCCACATTTCACACATGAAAACGGCTTTTCACCAGTGTGAATCATCATGTGTTGAGTTAATGCCTTTTTTTCAGTAAAACTTCTTCCACAGTTCACACATGAAAACGGCTTTTCACCAGTGAATCATCATGTGCCGAGTTAAATGCTGTTTTCGACTAAAACTTTTTCCACAGTTCACACATGAAAACGGCTTTTCACCAGTGTGAATCATCATGTGCCGAGTTAATGCTGTTTTCCACTAAAACTTTTTCCACAGTTCACACATGAAAACGGCTTTTCACCAGTGTGAATCCTCATGTGCCGAGTTAAACAAAGTTTATGACTAAAACTTTTTCCACAGTTCACACATGAAAACGGCTTTTCACCAGTGTGAATCCTCATGTGCCGAGTTAAACAAAGTTTATGACTAAAACTTTTTCCACAGTTCACACATGGAAACGGCTTTTCACCAGTGTGAATCCTCATGTGCTGAGTTAAACTCTGTTTATGACTGAAACTTTTTCCACAGTTCCCACATGAAAACGGCTTTTCACCAGTGTGAATCCTCATGTGCCGAGTTAAATGCTGTTTTTCACTAAAACTTTTTCCACAGTTCACACATGAAAACGGCTTTTCACCAGTGTGAATCATCATGTGTTGAGTTAATGCCTTTTTTTCACTAAAACTTTTTCCGCAGTTCACA